ATATATATATATATATATGTATATATAATATATATTGGTTTCTCATAATTAATTTGTAGAAGTCTTAAACTCGCAATTCCAGTAAAGTGCTTCACACAAAGGACTAAATAATTGTGATATCTAGAAAAGTAGTATGTGCAAAATCATATTTAGACATCGTGTATCAGACATAGTTTGCGAAAAATGTGCGAAAGTCTACGAGTTGTTTTTATATTTTTACGTCTTGTTGTTTTAAGAATATTTTTATTCCTAAGTAACCTTTCCATAGAAAAGTAAAACATATTTAATATCTGCAAGCATATCCACCCATACTGTTTTATCTTATCAAAAGTCTGATTTTTTAAGCAAAACTACGTTTAATAAACAAAGAAATATATACTGCATTTTAAAGAATGTTTTCTTTCACTACTATAGAAGTATATAAGAATATGTTTATATAAGTATGAAATATTCAATAATAAGGATTTAAAGTGCACATTTATATAAGTATAAATATATGAAAAAATTTTATAAAATAATATTAAAAATCTACAATTATTTTACATGTTAATTAGATTAAACCACAAGCTAATTATCAAGCATGTTGTTTTTTACTCAACAGGAACTCAAAGTAGATATTAAGGTAGATTAGCTTCGCTAATAAGTATTCATCTAATTTTAAATTTTATTTAATTAAATACTCTTCGCACTTCTACAACACACTGTATTTGTATAACACACATTTACCATTCTCACTCTGTTGCAGTCTACTTTCTAACAAATGAAATGGATTCATAGCATAATACCAGCAATAAGTACGTTATATGTATAAATGTTTAACTTTTCTGTGATCATTATTTAATTAAATACTAAAGTATATTTCCATGTAGAATAATGGAAACCAATGTCTGTCTGCAGCATGTAAAATAAATTCTCTCTATTATATAATATGTACATATATATAGAAATGTGTCGTGGATATTTAATATATATATTTATTATCACTATAATTAGTTTTATAATTTCAAATTAAATCTAATTATCTCTTTTCCTGTCGCTGCAGATATCAATCTCTACTTAATACTATAACAATCAACTAAATTCAACTAATTCATATTAGAAATGAATCTTTGCTATAATCAAGTTAGAATCTGATGATACAATATTGGACAAAGAATTTGTGAAAGTTAAACAACTTTCTCTACAATAGTTGCGTGTTTTGTGCTATGAATCCTGCATTTAGATATCACTTTTGTTGCCTGATTGTTTCTTTCATTCCCCAGTAGAATAAAATGCAAAATATCCTTTTTCAATTACAATTCATTCACTTATTACCATAATACACACAAGATTGTATATCTTATACTTGCTCTTAATTCACAAAATTCTCGAATAGCTTTTCATATAAAAAGATTTCTTTTTCTGCGCATATATATATATATATATATATATATATATATATATATATATATATATTCTCAAAGAAAAAGCTTCTTATCTTGTTTTATTATATAATTAAAACGCATGCTAGTATTAGCATGTGATATTGTACAATGTGTGCACGTCTCGACATATTTTCCTTCTTTAATATTATATCGATGTGGTGTGGTTGAAAAATGTATGTTTGCGATCTCGGCGACGGTTCTTGAGGCAGAATGTTTTAGACTGTCATATCATATGGTCAAAAAAGCTATATTATATAATAATACCATAATAAATATGAAATATATTTAATAGAAGACATATAAAGGGTACACAGGGGGAAAAACGATCAAAGTTCACTTTTTGTCAAAATTGATCTGATCATACTATCTTGTGGAATTTCCAAAGAACTTTCTTAATTCTTATTCGTTTTGATCGGGAACAGTTACAAGATCGAAAGCATTGTACCGTGCTGGATCCTAGTCCTTGCTTGTGGGGAAGAACTATCAGAGTCCAATAATGTAAACATTAAGTAAACACTAAGGCTGCGTTCTGATATTCACTACCAGTATTGAAAATCTATAATATACGTAACGTAAACTATCTGATGTCTTGAAACTTAAAATTGCGTTTTTTTTCCCCAAAGTTACTCTGGATGGAGATTGATCGTTTTTCCTCTGTATCCTTCATATGATAAAACACCAACGTCTTCAGAGCAGCCAATAAATATGAGATTATAACGATCTTGTGCTTGTAAATTTAATTGGATTGTAGGTTTTATTTTACTTTATATTAAAAGTATATTTTTATTCTACAAATATGAATTCGTAACGATAGGAAAATATGTTCCAGCTCATTATGTTTCTTCAAATTTTCAAAATTTAATACAATATATCATAAATATTAATATAAAAATGAAAACAACAATGTCGAAGTTTGCAAATGATAAAGTGTACCATTGATGACAAAATGTATAAGAGCGTAACACACTCTGTACAAATGTACATATCAAATTTCTCAATTTAATTAGCACGTGACCGCATTTTTACTCTCTAATATCACTTAGATATTAATTCATTTGTTCTTCTTTTTTTTACTTACATTCTTTACACCCAATAACATTCTAGGCTTAATATTTGTTCTTTATTATCGAATAGATTGTGGATATATGTAAAACACATAAAGAACAACATTACTCAGCATTATATCTTACTTAACTAATTAATATTACATTTCTTTGTTACATTCTTCTTTTTGTGATCAGTCCAAGTTGCACAACATTTTATGTACATGTATCACTCAGCTCCAGCGAATTTGCCTATTCAGATATTCACAATTTGTTTATCTTGTGTGATTGAATTTAACTTTCGAATCCCTTTCGCTACAGTAAGAATTAATATATATGTATATGTGTACATGTGTATCTCCACTGCAATATTTCAAGCATTATGTACTTACAGTTCTAAAGCAGTCTTGGAAATTCTTTCGGGTATTAGGCATGTCGTTGAAAAATCTGTACATTAATTTGTAATATTTTTCTGAAAATTAACTCAACCAAAAACGACGTAGAAATGAATGTTATCGATGCGATATACTTATAGGAATTATAAGTATAAATGCTAAAATTACATTTTTACTGTAAGCTTTATCGCTTGCATAAATGGTGCAAAGAAGACACCTTTTTTCTGGAGCTGATTCAAATAGATATAAATCTATTTCTCTGATATGATACTGTAAAGTTAAACTTAAACTTCAATTTAAAGCAATTATATATGTATATATATATATAATTTCAAAATGTTATTCACTTCTATAAGACGAATTCATTATATGCTCCATCTTTTGTTAAATTTAATACAAATTAAGCACAAATACAAATTAAGATTTTATATTGCATCTTCTGACATTTTTTTATCCAATATATAAATTATATGTTGTATTAAACATGTTTATGATTTAACAAAGCTAAATCGTATATAATCTATTTTTACAAAGCGCTTTTCTGCCATTCCTGGCTCCACTTTGCCCATCATTTAGATACGAACACTATATTTTTTACATAAGCCTAATATTTAAGCATTTTGCGATACATTCAGGTTATACTTTACACATCAAGGATTAACATTGGGCATGAAGTGCAGACTGATAAATATACATAAATCAAATATTTATTGTACAATTACTACTACTTACATTGACAACCGAAAAGCTTGTTGAAAGTATTTCAAAGGGAACTAAATCCTTAAAGAAATTGCGTATTTCTGCTTAATCCATGAGTGTGGTTGTTTTACAATCGTTACAAATATACATATATATACAAACTAAATATTACTTCTGTCGAACTGGATAAAGTTTCATAGTGCCTGATCCGCTGACTGAAGAACCGCTCTCTATCGCACGGCATGCGATAGGAAACTTACGAATAGCAAAACAAAACGCTCGGTTGTTTTTTTTGTGCGGTACATCATGTACTCTTTGTCTTCTCCGAATTTGGTCTTACAACACGTTGTAAGTTCCTTCTTCGTAGACTTATCAGATAACTGTGGTACACTGTGATTACAGTTTAAACACAGTTTAACTGTGATATTTCAATTGTGACGTCACAAGTCAACTATGACATCTTAATTTATCACTGTCTATCTAAGTGTACGCTTCGATCTCCTGTGTATCTGTAAGTCATTAAACTTGGCTAATTTTGGCCAAATTTTCTTAGACTATCCATAATTATCCATGAGATTATCTTTCCTAGTGCACAAGATGTTTCCAGACAAGTGGAATGGACTCTATGATTTGTTTAGTATCCCTTACTTTTTTTAACGCATTATACAGTACATCATGCTACATCATATCATGCCGCAATACTACACTGTTCATTTCATTAAAGAAAGTTCATTCTTCCTTTGTTTTATCGATACACCCCGATCGACATAACTTACTTAAGTTTTCATTCAGACCCTATTTATGTTTCACATACTATACACATGTCAACATAGACAGATCTATGAATGAGTGTCCACTATACATTTTTTTTAAAAGCACTTATTGTTGTGTCCATTCCTTAGCAAGAAAGCTCAATCTATGTCTCTTCCGAGGAGATAGATCTGTTTTTACACGTAGGAAGGTCATGAAATGATAATAGCAATTAAAAATCACAAATGTTCTTGTTCTTTCCAAGTTTGCCTACTATGACAATCGTTGTCGTTTTGGGGAAGGACTTAATTCTGAATCTTCATCCTCCTCATCAGAATCTCCTTCATAATCGACTAACCCCTGTAAATTAACATAAAATTATCTGTTGATGCAAATTGCAACGTAAAAGTCAATTTAACTACATGGAGTTGCATATTAATAATTTTAGTTGCATATTAAAATGATGCTGTATGATTATATTTCAAATGTATATACTATGTATCTCTTTCTTGTTTTACCTTCTTGAACAGTGCGGTTCCCGTTTTTTCCACAGTGCCAATAGCCGGAGTAGGATTTATATCCGAAGCAATTGGTGATTCATTCGTTGTTGACGAGCTATTATTGATTTGTGGTTGTTGCGAGGTAATATTATTATTAGCAGTATTGTTGTTTAATACAGACTGCTGTTGTTGTTGTTGCTGATGACTTTTCGAATCTATAAAAATGGGATTGAGTGCAAAATTTAAGGATGATAGATAATAGTATTTTAGCAGAAATTGGAAATATAAGATTTATTACTATTGTTTGATATCATTATCTCACCTTCATCAAACTCTTCCTCTTCATTAAACCATAGTTCCTCTTCCTCGTCTAGCTGCCTCTGGTCCCTTCGATACCGACTGTTCCGCAAGATTGATGGGACGCTACATATAAATAATTCCATTACATATGACTTAGAAAATAAAAATGATTGTACTGTCAGTTTTTAGTAATCTGTCTTATTAATCTGTCTATTAATCTGTCTAGTCTTATTAATCTTTATTAATCTGTCTAAAATATATTTAACACAATTGGGTCCTTTTATCTTTTTTTCATTATAAGTATGAAAAAAGAGATACATCATTAAATATACCTGTCAATTGTAGTTCTATCACGATCTTTCAATTTGTCTTGATGTTGTTCATACCTTAACTTTAATGCTTTAAATGTTTGTACATAATCAATTGCTTCCAGTTCCTTTGAAAAGTTTTCAACAACATGTGAACATAGTGACTTAATATCCTCCTGAAACGTCATAGTACAAAATCATAGTACAACACTCCAAATTCTTTCGTATATATTTTCCTTGAACGAAGCAAAAGCAACAACTACTTACCAATTTGATAAATTCAAACATTTCCAGTATAGCTGAGTCTAGAAGATTATATCTGCCATTGTTTCTTACAAATGCATCGAATACGGGTGCAAACAAGTTACCCTTAATTATATACCTATTATAAAATTCATCCTTTAGTGCTATAATCTTTCTCATAAACCTTAATGCACATAGCACTAAAAATGTATGTGTCGACTTCATCAAAACCAATATTCTTCTGAGTAAATCTTTATTCAATATGCAGTTTTTAATATGGTACGTATGATGCTCGACACAGAATGATAACAATTCCAAGATCAATCCCAAAAGTTGTACTGTTCTGTAATCCTCTCTCGCGGGTCGTTCTCCGATCGTGTTTGCCAGGAGAGGGGCTATTAGAGTACCGATACTATTCTTGTAAAAGTAATTTAAGAAATCAGTCTTTTCTGATTTGTTAACAGAAGCCATCATGTTCTCTGGGTCGAGAAGTAAACGTAGTACACCGGCCAACTGCACCGCTCCACCCAACTCAGGATCACTGTCCCCGACAAGTTGAGCAACTATTACATTCACTAACATTTGGTCCTGTTCTGTGTTATTTATCTGCTGTAATGTATAATCTCGTACAACACTTGGAGAATATTCCACGATATAAGTCAATATATCTATACTGGCCGTTTTTGTCTGTGCATCATTCATCGCCAAAGTAATTTCTAAAGCAGGAAGTATACCAAGTGCTGTTAACGTTTTATAAAACGCCTCCTTTCCCTGCGGCTGAAGATTTTGCGAAAAGTTGCAAAATTCTTTTAAAAAAAGGACTAAATCGCGTCTCTTGCTATCTAATGTTGCTTCGTCCGTTAACTGACGAAAAAGTTCAGTAAGAAATTTCTCATCGTCCTGTATCAAAGTCACTATTTCAACTTTATTGAAGAATATAAAACTACTCAATGTACTCAGCATGTTGTCCTCGAATACACTCGGGGTTGGCAGCACTACATCTTGAATATATTGAACTCTGTATGTTTGATGTATTTTAGCTAGTAGTTCGGTATTTGTAATAGGAATTGCTTGTTTAAATCTGGCTAACTGTCGAAGATACTCTCTGTGCCTCTTTGGCTGAGATAACGTTGGCTCGTACTCCAAACAGCCAACAACATCGAAAATCGTATCGTCGCTGAACATAACTTCAAACAATGCATTTTTATTGAGTAAGAAAATATTTTTGAATATATCATAAAGATGATGCAATCCCTCAATATTCTCTAAATCCTCGCATGTACGAAAAAGATTTAGCAATTTCTTAATGTAACCTTCGGACTCTAGTGCCACTGCTAATTTCTCTTTTCTCATCGGGGACGTTAAACAATTTTCTATGAGCTCATTAATATCTTCCAATCGACTAAGTTCACACGGAGGTAATTCGATAGGCGGTGCTGCATCTGACATATCATCAAACCGCTCATCTTCAGATTCTTCCACAATGTCTTGTGTAATTTCTACAGATGGATCCTTGCCTTGAACCTGACAAATTTTCTCCCATATTTCGTCACAGCCGGCCTTTTCTTGAAAACTTAGGGCTAAGTCGAAATTGTCTCCTTCGGACCATACTATCAGAGTATCCTAAAATCACACACATATTTATTTGTACATATGTATACATGCATTATGAATCATTAGTTATACATTTAGGGCCGGTTGTTCCAACCTATTGGTAAGCTACCTGACAGTTAAATCACATGTCTATCTTTGTCCAATGTAAAGGATAAACAAAGACATACATATGATTTAACTACTAGGTAGTTTAGCAACAGGCTGGAACAACCAGCCCTTAATATGTTAATGTGTAAAATAATATAGGAAATATAGATTCTTCTATAATATAAAACCATTAAATATTTTATAATTAAGAAACAATTTGCGACATTAAAAAAAATTCTTTTGTTTGTTTAAATTTTATAATAAGCAAATAAAAGAAATACACACATTGATTTATTCTTAATTTATACTTAATTTCTTATTGTTTCACAAAAATCACAACTAGATTGGAAAATTTTGTACAAGATAACCAAGCAACAGTAGCGCAATATTTAATCAATAACATCCATGTGTTGTGCTTGAAAAAAAGTATAGATTTTTGAAAAGTCATGAAAAAAACAATTTTATGGATGTTCTCTGATTACCTGTTGTTTCTGATATGCAGTATCAGGTTGTATTTTACTCTCCAGCAGAAGAGAGCCATCGCTTTCTGCTCTTACCAAGAGGGAAATTCCCTTCAATCTCTCTACATAGGAAGAGGAAACGTGACCCGTACCACGATCGTCCCATTGCCTATCCGCATTGAGGGCATACAGTTTTACTCTTCTACGTGTATCCGTCATATTGCGAAACTAATTAGTGCACTCTCCGTATCACCAACAAATCCGCATGCCTTTCTGGATTCCGCACAATCTTTAGCTTTCTCTGGCGGTTGGTCTCTACGGGAGAACTCTCAGATACCTGTTGGAGCAACGAACGGACAAAAACCTGGATATGTTAGACTCCCGCATGCCCTTGTACGACCCATCAAGGTTTATCGTTATTGCGTCACACGTGCTGGTATAAACAAAAACGTCCGGCTAGGACGTCAGGGTCTCTCAGTCGAAAGGCCCCCGCATCCAACGTCCGCGACTCTCTCAGGCGGGCCCTCGTAGACAACGTGCACAAGCTACACGCACCAGTTCGGTCCCGATCCCGATCGGCCGACAATCATATGTGCGTACCGTGAAACGGCGAGCTCGACGAATAGCATGGGCAATGGACGCGCGTCATGTATGAACGTGTGTCGCGTTTCCCCCTTCGACAGGCTCCTCTCGCGAGGTCCACGGCGGAGCCGCGTCCACGCGCCGCACGTTGGACGGACCGTTAGGCGGCGATCTCCTCCCCGCGGGGGATGAGAGCTCTCTACCCGGGAGGCGGATCGCGCGCGGGAAAAGTTGGCGTGTTCGCGACTCTCACGTGTCGCGGCGACCGCGACGTAGGGTCGAGATAAGCGAGATAGCTGGACTCGTCGTCTCGGCCGGCACGACGACACGGCTCTTCTCCAGTTTGGATACCGACAACCCTCGGTCAGTGAACGCTGCGCGTGTGGCGCACTCCGCACTCCGCTCCGCTGTGCACGACTCCTTTTCCAGCGGCGGCGGCGGCGACGGCGACGGCGGCGACGACGGCGGTGACGACGGTGGCGGCGGCGACGACGACGACGGCAGCGGTGGCGGTGGCGGTGGCGGTGGCGGTGGCGGCGGCAGCGACGGCGGCAGCGGCAACGGCGGCGGCGACGAACGACGAGTGCCCGTTGTGATACGTGGTAGCCACTCCCGCGATACCGGCGCTCATAGGAACACGATTATCTCACGCGAATACCCGTCAACGGTCGCCGTCGGCTCGCATCGCCGCTCGCGCTCCTTTCCTCTGTGCTGCACCACTTTAAAATTGACATAGACACCGAGCAGCCACAACACTACATTCCGCCATGATAGATCATAACAACGCGCCACGGGGTCCACCGCGCGCTACGCAGGGACGCGCCGCGCGAAATTCAAACGGGCGAGACTCGCCGCTCCGTCAGTTGGCCGTCGGACTCTCCTATATTTATTTTGTTTTTTCCTCCCTTTTTCTCGGACGTCTGTCGCGCCCGTCGCTCGTTGATTCTCGCACGGGCTTTCGATGTGGGGAAAAGTCTCGTGGAACGTGGAGAAAAGCTTCGCCGAGTTTAAATTGTGTGCATATGACGGCGACGGCAACGATCTCGGGAGTCGTGCCGTCGCTAAAGTGAACATATGTATACTTCGTTTGCCGAATTCTCCCGCGCGCTTTTCCGCGACTTTCCATTGACGATTGACGCGAGATTTTTCTCGCAGATATGCGGATCGCTCGCGCAACGATCGCCTCGCGTGCCAGGCTCGCGCGCGCGGATGCATTATTTTCTCCAGAATCCAACGGGATTCCGCGTTTCCTGACGTCACGGCCAAAGATGGCCGAGCGACTTCTCGAAGTGATGACTCGGAAATTAATAAATGTCTATTATAAATGCTCCGTGTGTATGTGTGTATGCGCGCGCGCGCGTGCATTATATCTGGAGAATAATATGTACATATGTATGTATTATTTATTCGGCGTCGTTTCGAGCGGACCTGACGGATATTCTTCTCCTGAATAATTATAAATGATAATATATCAAATAATATAATTCTTTGCACTGAAAACGAGGCAGTATTATAATTGGACTTTCATAATTGCAGCATGTTCGATTCGATAACGGCATGAAAAATGGATCCCTCGTTCCTCGCGGATGACATCGTTACATCATCGCGATATCTCTGAAATTTACAACTTGGACGACGCACGACGACGCGTTTTCCTCCTCTCTCTCTCTCTCTCTC